CCCCAAAACCCCAAAACCCCAAATAAATGATTCTATACTCTTTGAGTGAATAAATAAAATATTTGAAATGAACTAAATTCAAGGTATTTCATTTCCAAGTATAAATTTTATGATCTATCATATTATCTTACTTGCTTATGAAATGAAGCTTTGATGCCAGTAAGATATCTAATTGAATTCAGTCATTTTTGCTTGAAAGTAATTGAAGTACAAAGAGGAATATGTTCAGAATGTCAAGGTAAAGAATAATTGCTCCATAAATATAATCTTCCTTACTGACTGAATATCTCTTTCCACCACAAATCATTTAGGTATCGATTATCAAGTACAATCCAAATAGAATAAGGCCAAGGCAGCAATAGACAACTCTGGCGTAGTACCCCCAAAACATGGTGAATACTCCAAACATTAGTAGACAAGCAGAAAATACAAAGATCATTCCACCCATGACTGTGAAATCTTTCTTTGTTGTCAGGGCGTAAATAGTGAGTGAAACAACAATAGCAGCAGTAATGGCAGCTGCAGCAAGAACTGTCTTTGCATCATTAACAGCAGCGCACACGAATGCAATTGAATAGGATTCACATATAGTGAACGCAAACATTAGATAGTAGTTGGTAGGCACTTTCCTGGCAAGAGACGGGACGCAGAACAAAGTACAAACGAGCACAATAGCCATAACCATTGAAAGTATCACCAACCAGAATTAGGAAACCATGATAGCTCTAACGGAATCACTTAGATATGGAATCAAACACATGAAAGCGGTGAGAGAAAGTTAGGCTGACAAGATACCGTATACTTTTCTGATGAATCCTATTCTGTCTTCATCTGACATCCCCTCGTGGAAGTGATGATGAGAGCTATCTGAAGAAGAATAAGAATGCTTTCTTTAGTAATGATGGTCTTAATTGTGAAGTGGCTCTCTATATTACTGGTACTGAGCCTGATTATTTTATTGATACATATTATTATTATTATCTCTCCTAGAAAGTTCTTGCATTTTTATTTAATTTTTTTACTAATAGTAGAAAATTTTCTAGAAATAAGTGGTAAGGGGGTTTTGGGGTTTTGGGGTTTTGGGG